ACCATTTTCCATAATTTAGCCAGATTTACTAACACAATCAAAATTGAACACAAGGTTAAACTTAAACACCTTGACACAGACACACACAGGCACACATACAAGTTTAACGAAACATAATACACAGATATTCACCGAAACAGAGACAAAAATGAATCAGACACTTTTTTTCTGTACATTAACACACAAACATACACTCAGACATACTACACACACACACACACACACACACACACACACACACACACACACACACACACTCAAAAGCACACAAGATAAGACTCTTAGCCTCTCATTTTTTCTCTTTTATCCTTTATATTTTTGACACACACACACTATGTTCCATCCTCAAACACCATGCTGGGATTGTAATACAGTGCAGTAAAAAAGTAGATCTATATACTGTTCCCTCAGGGTGTAGTAACACAGGTCGCTTTTGAGTGTGCGATGCGTCTTCCGACAACAAGGCCCCAGGATACGCAAGATAAAACCTTTATGGGGCCAGGACTGCTGCACACATATACACACACATACATATACACACACACACACACACACACACACACACACACACACACACACACACACACACACACACAGTCTTTATTGGCCCACAGTTACAGTGCTGTACTCCTGCTATATCCCATTTTAAAACTTCATGAGGCCTGCTTGGTTTTTTGTTTTTTTGTTTTTTTTGACTACAGTGCAAGTGTCTGCAGAGACAAAACGGTGTCCTGTGGGAGGACGACTCCTGCAGACATCTCCTCGCTTCTAGTTCATATTCATGTCTATGTTTTTGGATATGTTTGAGACAGATGCCTACCAGCCAATCAGGAAAAGCATAAAAAAAAAAAAGTACTTTCTGTAGCTATGCTGTAAACTTTTCTGCAGGTGCCGTTAGTGCTGCTGAATTGTTGCATTGCTACTCAAACTTTGAGGTTCAGAACTAAGCCCATCCTTTTCCTAACCATCCTCCACTCTTTTAACGAGCACTCTCAACTCCCTCAGTTTTGGCTTTAGTTCATAGTTCTTTTTTTCCCTCCCTCTTCTTCCACTCTTTCCTCCCTACTTGACCAAATCTTTCTTCCACCATCCATGGTTCCTGTCATCCCTGAAAACCTTCCTCTTGTGCTCCCTCCTTCTTTTCTTCCTTCCTTCCGTCCTCCCTCCCTCCCTTCCAACATCCTTCTTTCTTCTACCCTCCTTTCTTTATCCCTCCTTTCACACTTCATTAGCATCACTGTATGAAGGCCAACTGTAGTTGATTAGCTATCAGTGTGTTCTGTATCCGTGAGAGGAGGTGTGTATGTGTGTCAACAGATTTGTGCTTTTACAGATTAAAACATGTCTGTGTGCTTATAGTAGTTGTTTGTGTGTGTATTTCCGGGCTAGCCTCCAGTTCCAAATGTGCGTCAGCTACGTGAATCTCTGTATGTGTACATGTAAGCACGGGCTTGAATTTGTGTGGATGTATTCAAATACATACAATAGGGACAAGTATGTGTGTCTATTTTGTATCAACAAATGTGTGCATCTGTGTGGGTGTGTGTGTGTATGTGTGTGTGCTACCCACATGTCATCGTGGGTGCCAGGTTGTGTGTCACTGGGTGGCCTCTGTAACTCTCCGCTGTAAACGAGCTGGCAGAGGGAGGGATGGTGGGATGGTGGGAGGAAACAGACGGAGGAAGGGGGTGATTGAACGAGCTTTCTTTATCTTCCTGTGGAGTAACATCAGGAGAATTTGTTGACTAAATGATGTTAATGAAGAGTTGAGTCTCTGTTAAAGCAGTTGTAAAACACAGCTAAGAGGCAGTGGTTGAAGGAAGGTGGCAAAGATCTGTCATGTTTAGTCTATTTACAACAAACTATGTACACTTTATATTGCAAATCATGTCGGTGTGCTTCAGATTTTTGAATGTTTTTTTTTTACATGTGAAACACATCCTCTACATCTTTATTAAATCTACCTTTCTTTTAAAAGCAAGTGAAGGAAATTGCAACAGGATAAGAACAGTTTGCCAACTTCCAGTGAATCACCCTCAACATTTTCCTGGAAAAAGTAAAGTGCACTTTTATTAAGACAGAGATGAAGCCATTTAGAAAATGTGACACAAAAACAGAACTTTTAAGTATAACTGAAGCATTTGTTAACAAAATTCTGTATTTCAGGATGATGAGGATATTTTATTTTCCTGCTCTCTTTTTTTACTTTTGGGAGGGAAATGTTGGGACTTCATCACAACAACAACGGTTCATGAATGTTAAGATGGTGAACCACTTCGTTTTGAACACATATGCATTCAAATGCATGCAATGCACATGCACCTTCTCTGAGAGATTCTCATTGTCTATCACTCTCACGAAATACACAGACTCAGAGGCTCACACACTCACAGCCTCCATATAGTTGAGATGGATGAGTGTGCAGTGACTGACAGTTGATTCATCGGTCCCGCAGCCACCATACATATTCTAATGCAGTCTTGAGGAAAGTGAAAAAAAAACAAAAAAAAAACTTGCAGAGTGAGATCAGGACTTTGCTTTTAGACAGCGGGAGGAGAGGGGGCCATTATTCTTAGCTAGTATAACGTAGCTGTCAACTGACAAAGCAGCCACAGAGAAAAAAAACAAGATTTATACTTAGAAACTTCAGTCTTAAAATGACTCTTTTAGTTGCAGTTGTCTGAAAAGCTGAGGAGTGAAGAGTTCATTGTGAAAACATTGTGCACAGTGGCATGTTTGAATGGCCAGTCCTCCATCGTACATGCATTTCTTTTTAAGCATAAATTCCTCCCAAGCTGTCAATATAATCAGTTTATGGATTTTGTGATATTGTAATACATCCTTTTCCTGAGTATCAGGGATTGATGAATAATAATGTGATTTGTTTCGTGGGCATTGGAATGTGTGAAAAAAGAGATGAAAGGTAATTTGATTTCAAAAACCTCAATGTAAATTTGGCCAGCGGTATTAGAATGATGTGTGTGCTCTGTCGAATATCATTCTGCTCACGAATGAGCGCATTGCGACCGCCGGCCAAGGTGCTGATCCTGGGACCATCAGAAATGCTGGAGCTGTCTGCGGTAATTACCTCGGTTCATGCTGATGAGCAGGATTCCCACTGTCACAGTCTGATGACCAACAGGAAAACTCCACAAATAATTCCCCTGTCATTGTTTCCATCTGTTCCTGTTGCTCTTCAACTGAGTGTCTTTCAGATTCAGGTTGCTGTGTCTTGACATCATTTTGTTAGTCAGCACCATTAAGTCTGCCTCTCGTTGCTGTAGAGAGAATATAGAGTTGCAGAGAGCCTTGCATGGGATTCAGGCTTGTATTTTACCACCTGGCCTTCAACAGCAAGCAACCCTTATACAGTGGATCCACATTGTTTAATTTAAAGGTCCAGTGTGTAACGCTCAAGATGATATATTGGCAGAAACGGCATATATTAGTTATAGCTCACTAGTGTGTAATAACTTGAAAATAGAAAGAATAGTTGCTGCCATGTTGAACTGCTTTGGTTCTACAGTAGTCCAGAATGGACAAACCACTGGCTCTACATGGGCGTCCACCTTTATATATTGTACTGTCTGTACAGCTTCACATTCACCCTCTCATTACATTCATACATAGAGTAAGAATATTCACCTGTGGATTTGGGATACTGAAAGTATTAAATACAATAATATAGTACAAGTGAAGTACATGTGTGAGGTTCTCCTTTTAGTTACCAGCTTTCATTATGTGCATTTTTAGCTTTTTGTTTTAGCATTTTGTGTAGCATTTCGTGGAGGTCTCACTATTCATGTGGATGTTGGTTATCTCATTTTGAAGAGAAGCTGCTGTCTGGAGTTTGGTTTTGAAAAAAAAGGGGGAGTAATAAAACTTCCTATGCTTTTAGGCTTGACAGAGGCCATTATTTTAAAGTAGCATAATGTGGAAGTCTAGTGGCAAAGTAGCTGTCAGCAACATGTCAACAATGTGATGGATTAGTGCTAAAGGTGGAGAATTCACTCTGTAAAATGTCTCCTTTTTAGCTTTTACTGGCAGCAAATTCAATGCAGAAGTTAAACTGTGTCTGCTTCCACTTTACATTTGCATCACATTGTAACCAGTTAGTGGCTGTGGTGGCAGAATAAGCGTTGCTTCCTATAGATCACACTGACATCTGATCCTTTTCACAGTAACATACAACATATTCCAAGGGTTTACAGTATGAGTGTCTAAAGGTTTATTCTGTGACTGGTGTAAAATTGGGTACTGATGAAGCCATGCCAGACTGTACTGATATTGGTATTGATTGATACCAATATGAGCTTGAAAATATTGGACTCCTAACTTTCTTTCATCGTGTTTATGGTTATTTTTATTGGGGGAATCAATCGAGGCCTAAAAACATCTTGAATAGCAGGTGGTATATAAAACAACACGTAATGAAATGATGAATTTCAAATTGTGTTTGTTATTTTTGAAAATTACACTGAACACCCAAAGGGTTGTGCAACATTCTTTCATTCGAGTATTACGCACTTAAGCACCGCTGATTGGATTTTAATATAGATTATAGGGGAGATGAGTTTTGTAATGTATTCTAATTCTAACGGAGATAAGCTCAGATGGGGCCACAGTCATAACAAGGTGATATGATTTGTTTTCTGATTGGCTCTGTGACTGAGCTGGATATTTTATTGATTTTAGCCGCAACTAGCAGCTCTGTAGCTCGCACTGTCGGTCAGTCCTTTGGCGGCCACAGTTTTTGCCAGCGAAGGCTGAAATTGAGGTCAAGTGTGTTTGTGCGAAGGTGTGTGTTTGTGTTCATGTCAAATAGCTAAAAGATGGCGTGGTAATGGTAGCAGCCTATTGGAATACGGTTGCGTGTGTGTGAATGCATGAACGTATAGATGCATGTGTGTGCGTGGTCGCAGCTATTACAATTTTGCAGTTGTTTCAATAGAAAAATCGGAATCTATACTTAACTAACCACCTCTGTTCCCACTTTCCAGCTCCTCCCACCCCAATTGCTCCGCCTGAGCTTCTCGCAGTTGGCGCCACCTACCTTTGGATCAAACCCAACGCCAACAGCATCATCGGCGACGGGCCGATCATCCTGAAGGAGGTGGAGTACCGCACAACTTCAGGGAACTGGGCGGAGACCCACGTGGTGGACTCCCCCACCTATAAACTGTGGCACCTGGATCCAGATGTGGAGTACGAGATCAAGGTCCTGCTGTCCAGACCTGGGGAGGGAGGAACAGGGCCGCCGGGGCCGCCTCTGGTCACCAGGACTAAATGTGCAGGTGAGTGACACCTCTTTTTATTCTTTTGGTCTCCAAGCTTTCTCTTTCTTTCTCTTTTTTGTCATTCTTTTAGGTTGTATTCCAGTTATTTAATTCCCTGTTAAGGTTGCTGTTGTTTCCTTTCTTTACTTTTCTTTTTGATAGTCGGTTGGTTCTTTTTATTCTTGCTTCTGTCGTTGAGGATTAGGGATCCATTGTGGACCCATTTTTATATATTAAAAATATGTCCTGAATACTCCAATAGAACATTGACATTGAGAGATTATAATACAGCTAAATGAACTCTGGTTTGGATAAGGTTAGGATATGGTTTGGATATGGTTTGGATATGGCTATAGTTAGGTCTGAATCATCTGATTTGGAGACAGAAAGCTAGAAGGTAGATGAGCAAAAGAACACGAGAAAAAAAAGAAGAGAAAAGGAAAGAGAAACTGTTTCCAATTATTTCTCCTTGAGAACGAGAGCACAAATCAAAGATGATGATAATTGGGATGTTAAGAAGGTGCCCCGGTGATGAAGGAGAGAGGTGGAGTGCGGGGGTTGCAGGAGAAGAGGAGGAGGAGGAGGAGGAGGAGATAGGGGAGGTTAGGTGGGGGCAATCATAGCCGATAATGAGGATCCCACCGGGGGTGTTAGGACACAACAAGTGGCAGTTCATTTGATAAAGTGACATCCCATCAGATCTCAGATGGACTGTGTGTGTGTGTGTGTGTGTGTGTGTGTGTGTGTGTGTGTGTGTGTGTTTTGAGTTAACCCAGTAGGAAGCCATCATCCCCACTCCTCTTTCGTTTCTCTTCCACAAAATGTCCTTCCATCTTTCTCTGTTGATGTTTTTGTTTAGCTGTTCTTTTCTTTCTCTCCTCATTAATTCTTCCTCTTCTGACCTCTCTCCTTCTTGCTTTAATTGAGCTGCTTCCTTCCCTCATTTCTCTTTTCACTTCCTCACACTCTTCCTGTGCTACTTTCTACTTCTTCCTGTTTCCTCCTTGTCACTCTTTTGCTCTTTGACCTATTTCCTACATGTCTCCTCTCCTTCTGTTTTCCTGACTGTGTTGTATCCCTCTTTCTCCTTGTCTCTTGTTGTCTGCTTTCATATTTACTTTTGGATCACATTCTCTTCTTTCTTTATTTCTATGTTTCTTCCTTTGTCCCTCTTCTACCAAAATTATCTTTTTTTCCCCCTCTCCATTTCTCTCCTCCCCTTTTCCTGTCTTTATATTTTTTCTTTTTTTCTGTCGTTCTCACTCAACCATTTTCTCAAGAGCGTTTTCTGATGTGAAGAAGAGACAAAAGGCTTTTGTCAGTGATTTGTTTTTGCTTAGAGGAGTAGAGATGGAGGGAGTAAGACAATGGTGGGGTGAGAAGAGAAGAAGTTGGTGAAAGAGTGAAGGTGTCGGTGTGAAAAAAGATTCTGCACAAGCTGCATCTACCCTTTGATTCACAGTGTGTTTGATTTCTCAAACATCTGTGCACTAGTTTTCAGCAAATGTCATTTAAATGGGAGTACGTTGTTAAACACTGTTTTAAAATGCAGATTAATCCAGATTATTTGATTTAGTGTGTATTTTTAAGTAAAAACTAACATGTGACCCAGTGCAACAGGATGACTCACTGATGTGTTTTTAATAGTTTTTGCACAACAATGGAACTCTCTTCCACTCATACAGAGGAATATGATTTGCAGACTTGTTAGTAGGATCCATTCAGTGATGGTTTTGGGTCTTTTCCGAGGCTTTGTTGACAAAACTAAAACTATAGGTTGTCATCAGTTTCTCTTTCTCTTCCTTATTAACCCCCCCCCTCCCAAAAAATCTGTCAGCTACCGGTAGTCCCTGCCCTGCTCACCTGAGGCTCTTTTGCTTTGCTTGATGCTGTACACACACCCTTCAAACTCTCATTTTGCTCAGACAAAACTTAAGATTGAAGTACATCTCAAATCAGTGAACATTTTGTGTACGGCTTGTACCTGCACATGGACATAGCCACCGTTTTTTTAGCAGAAGATGAGGAGGAAGAAACAAGCAGACAGTGGTAGTGAATAAAGTGATTGAAGTCGGACAAAGAGGTCGAGGGAAAGACAGAGATGGTTGATGTGAAGTGAAGTGGGACAGAGGAGGTGGTCAGTGTGCTGGTTTGTGTGCATAGTAGAAAGGAACATGTGTTTCTAGGCTAGTGGCACTGTGTTGAGCTGTCACAACCATTCACAGGGTGCTTTGTGTGTGTGTGTGTGTGTGTGTGTGTGTGTGTGTGTGTGTGTGTGTGTGTGTGATGTATGTGTCTCAGTGTGTGATGGGATTGGAGCAGGCAGGTATGACAGATGTTCAAAAGCCTGCTGGCTACTGGCAGTGTTGGTGTGTGTGCGTGTCTCCACACCTTCTGTGTTCACCTTTCTGTTCATGTTAGCTTCTACAGCCCTGCTCAGGACTAATAATCCTTTTAAAGCAGCTACTTGTAGCACATGATTGATTTTAATATCAGCTTTAGTTTAATACCTTGGTGTAATTATTGTAAACATCTGTCCAGGTTATTGGGCATGTTAATTACCTGCCAACTTGCATTATTATAAATATTTCTCAGTATTGGTTGATATCTTTCAGGCTGCCTGTGGTTTCATTTTATTGATTTATTTATTTATTTGGTAGATAATTAATAGTTGAAACAATACGTTTCCGTCAGTTGCTAATGGCGTTGTAAGAACACCTTGTTTTTGCTCGTCAGATTTTTATATTTCAATATTTAGGGACAGTTTATTTATAAAACTAGCAATTATGAAAGTGATGGTTTGTGATGTGTGGTGACATTAGAGCAGATAATCAAGAATCCCATTGCTGTGGGCATTATAATATAGACTACTCGACCCTCAAGTGTCACATCCGATATAAAAGATAGATAACACGTACACACCCAGCTGGAAGCCATGAAGCCCCACAGCTCTGTGGTTTTGAATGCTCTTTTGGACTTTTTTGACTTTCCTGACCCATCCAATCCAGACCGGTCTCTGTGCTCCTGGGCCTCCTCTTTACAGATAAAACACTGAGGCTACAGCACTGATTAAAAAGATGTCCTCTACCTTACACGTTCACAGCAGCTCATTTATCCATAACTATTGTTATTAAGAGTCTTTAAGCAAGACGTTAAATCCCAAACTGTTCTTTTAGTTCCCGTCACTCTGGAATATAGTCTCAACTAAAATATAACAGCTTGAAGCAGTACATCAGTACAGCTCTATGGAAAGTATTGTTTGCTAAAGTTGTTTTATTGCAAACAGTAGTGGCTACATAGATTGGCTATTCCGCTAACAGTTATGACAGTGCTGATGAACAAAATAGCTGACAATAATGACAGTTCTAATTGGCAGTATTACTTACTAAAAGAAAACAACTAGAAGCCACTTGGAGAAACCTTTATGAAAGTTTGCCATACCCAGTATGATTCCCAATAAATCAAAATCCAATTTGAACAAAAATAGAAAGTCTTTAATACAGGTTTCAAAATAGAAAAACAAAAATATCACCACCTGTGCAGCCTCAAGCCCCCCTGTTGATCACCAAAGTGAGTTTGGATGGCTTTCAGTCTGACTGAGTATGGCTGACTCAGGGTCGGCACTTCAAACTGATGTATTGGCTCTTCGGTGTATTCATTTGTCATGTGTCTTCATTGCATTATGTTTTTTTCTTATCTATAGATATTTTCCATTTTTAAAAACACTCAACATTATATATGATGTCTTTAATACACCTTACCTACATACGTGAAAAATGTATTATTCACCCACCCAAAACTCCTGTAGCAGCCTACATTAGATTCACATTTTAATGCCTTTGTTCATCATCTGTGATGTGCAAATATCCACCCAAGCACAGAGGGTAAAAGCATGCAACCTGGTCATAGATCAGTTATAAAATTGTAGGGCACCACAGAGCCACTCTCCGGCCGGGCTGCTGTTTGCTCTGTCAGCCGAGCACTCAGTCACACTGGGCAGCCGTAGAGCAGGATGTATCAGCGTCTGGTTCAAAAGGAGTTTACTGTAGCTGATTTCATCAGCACCAGAACTTCAGGGCAGCCAGCAGACACAAGTCGAGCTGTCCTCTGTTTCCATTACTCTTTTCTACTTCCATCACAGTTCGTTTTATGGTTCAGTCATTTTGAGCCAGGACTCGGTTTGTAAAGTTTACAGCCAGCCATGCTGTAGCTCCTGCAAAAAAAATGTGCAGTGATTCCACTGACAAATTGCAAATCGACTTTGTGTGACTGATGACTCAAATCATTGACTTTTAGGGGTGAAGCCCAACAGCCTACTATGCTACTAAGGTAAATAATGTTGAATAAGTTGAATAATTTCAGATAATAATAAAAGACTGCCAGGACAGACTTTAAATATTTCAGAAATGTAGTAACAGATTTTGATTTGACATAAGTGTTGTGTCCTGAGGATGTTATTCTGGAAGCATCTGACACAAATGAAGCCCTGGCAAGTCTAACTGAACGATTGCTGTGACTTCTCCATTTTGTGGAAATCACACAAAACCGCCTCCATCAGCTCCACACTCCATTGTTGTTCCGCTGTTGTAGTGGATGCTGCAGCCGGCTGCCAGGCGGCCGTCGCTCAAAATAGGATTCAGGCCATTTCACCCATAACCGGCGCTCCGGCGGCTCCGGGAATCTAACAACGATTTTAGCCATGTGCCTCCTCTAGCGTGGCACATTTGTGAGAGCGATGTGAAGAGTAGATCGAGGAGGCGAGCTAAAATGAACTCTCCATTTTGCTCGAGGTGCAGCGAGGACACAGCCTTGATAATGATTGATTTCATCATGCGCCTCCCCTCCTCCTTTTCTCTCGCTCCTTCCATCTTCCTTCTAATCACTCCTTCCCTACTTCTCAAGGCTTTCCAACAATTCATCACCCTGTTTTCATTTGGATAATATTTCTCTATGCCCACCTCTTCTTCCATAAACGACACTCAGTGGAGCAGTTGTTCCCTCACTCATCCAATGTTGTT